AAATTAAGCGTTTAGCAGCGTCTTGTAACACCTTGTGCATCTCGCAAAATTGCTATTTCGTACGCTTTTTTTCTCCAATCTGGATACTTACGGCTTTATATTCATATTGTAGCTGACGAGCTGCTGCATCCGCCATTGTGCCAAGTGGATTTTTCTAGCTGAAATGCACAAATATTACACAAAAACTAATTTTTCAACCACCGACAACAATTTTCCACTTTTCCAGCGGCTGTTTTTATTTCACTTGCTGTCAAATGTCATCTTCAATTTTACTTTTATTCCATTCTCGATTTTGGTTTTCGAATAGTTGCATTTTTGGTATTAAAAAAACATAAAACGGGATTGCAAAGTCCCAAACCGGTTAGCCGCCTTCTAGATAATAACCGGTTCACGGCTAGCGCGTTTTACCATAAACGAAAGACATAAGATCACGCGCAAATGTAAGAAAGAAAAAAGTAATTTTCTAGCTGTCGAAATATCGACGCCATCTTTGTTGTAAGAAGTAAACAACGAAGAGAACGAAGAAAACCGCGTAATTGTTAAACGCATAAATACTCTGCCCTATCCTGAGTGTCGGCCGAAAAAAAATTCACCCGAAAATTTGACATCCGCCATAGTAAATACATGGAAAGCAAAAGTGAAAAGTGAACCGGTTCGGGGAAAATGGGAAAAAATAAGGTTGACTCATTTTTATTATACAAATTCTTCTATAAATCATGACGTTGTGTTAAATTTTTCTTTACCTTATGTGTACACACGTTGTCACAGCGAATATGAAGAAAATTCCAGTAAAAATGCACCACCAAATTGTGAGCAACGAACAAATGTAAACAAACGGATAATGTCAAAATCGTCCAACTTTCTTCCTAAATGCGATCATAACGGGCTTCTGGTTTTCTGGCGTGATCTTGTATTTTTGGTTCATGGCGTTTTACCACTTCCAGCTGATAATCGGTTCACGGCTAGCTAGTTATTTCCTGGTTCATGGTGGTTTTGCTTATTAACCGATCCAAAGTGGTGAGAAAGGTATAGAAATTCACAAACAGACAACTTAAAGCGAAATTTTTTCATTCGCCCGTAATGAATACACGGAAAAAACAGAAATACATTAATTAATGATTAATTTTTTTGCAACAAATATTTTAACCACTCTGGCTAGAGAAACAGCTGATTTGTAGCGAGTGATTCGCAACCCTGTGTGGTTATCAACGAGCTGCTAGTTGGCGTTCAACTGACAGTTGTGAAGTGGGTACTTTTTTCTTAACTGTCTTTTTCGTGCCCGAGGTTGGTGCAGACTTTGTAAGTGCATTTTATTTTAATTTTATTGCTATTTAATTATTCCAAAAATCCATTTATTGGTCAAAATCTTACCGAGAACTGTATTTTTGTAAAACACAAACAATCAAAAAGGAAGAGTTAGCTGCCTAAGTGGGGACAAGTCTAAAAGATCTAAAAGATCATGTGCTAATTATTCGTTATGTAACCTCAACCGAAAAATTACAAATCGGTATATGAGGCATAGCCTCGGCAACGACCTTGTGCAGAATTTCTTCTAAACTACTCCTTCTCTTTTCATTTCAGTTTTTAAAGGAAATCACCGAAACAGGGGAAAGTAACATAATCCACAATGTTCTCGTCACTGTATGAAGCTGCCAAAAACTCCCCATTCCGGACGCCATTTTCCAAAGTCCAATGTGACAGCACCGGTAAGTCGGGCCCTGTGTCCGGACGCCAGATTCAGGCAGCTTCAACTCCTACTGGTGATTCGTGCGAATTCGGCAGCAACAAATACTATGCCCTCTGCGGTGTCGGCGGTATCCTGTCCTGCGGTACTACGCACACCTTCGTCGTACCGTTGGATTTGGTGAAATGCCGTCTCCAAGTTGATCCCAAAAAGTACAAGAACTTGATCAATGGCTTTAAGCTTACTGTGGCTGAAGAAGGCGCACGTGGTCTGGCTAAGGGTTGGGCTCCAACATTCATCGGCTACTCAGCACAGGTGAGTGAGTGGGCGAAGTAAGTTAGTGTTAGGTGCATGATTGGCATAAGTACAACGCACACTGGAATGGGATTTGGAAACAAGCAAAACCAAATAATGTGTCTCAAGTATTTTTGCTGATGGTACCATTCGTTGTTTATTGAAGCGTGGAAGTCAGAATAAACGCAAACGAAATGTATGGCGTCGAGGTTACACAATCCATTTTCATTATTGGTTTATTGATTTTTAATGCTAAAACGATTAGAACTTATTTCTTGCCCCCAAATTAGGCCTCAATCAAGTATTTATAGTTTTTATTTCCTTTTTCAAAACACCAATTGTTTGCTTTGCTTATTTCCCACGCGTTTTGGTGATTAATTTTTATGCTCATTAGTTTTTGTTTTAACAAAATAGTTCCTCGCTTATCAGCGTCTGCATTCTGCGGTAGTTTATTTAAGAAACGCGGCGTCATCAATTTAAATTCTTATCATGTGAGAATTGTTTGTGTAAACCATTCCCCAAGTTAAATATTTGCTGTTTATTTTTAATTATTAATTTTTTAATTATATAACCTTATTTTTGAATAAGTACCTAGTAAAATTTGTTTTAAAGCAACACGTATTTGCTAGTTTTTTTTAGTTTTAATTTGAATACAAGATTATTTACAAACGTGTATCCACATTTGTTTACTACTTAGGGACTGTGCAAGTTCGGCTTGTACGAAGTCTTCAAAGTGTACTACGCCAATCTGTTGGGAGAAGAGAATGCCTACTTGTACCGTACTTGGTTGTACTTGGCAGCATCTGCATCAGCTGAATTCTTCGCTGATATTGCATTGTCTCCTATGGAAGCCGCCAAGGTCAAGATCCAAACCACCCCGGGCTTTGCTAACACTTTGCGTCAGGCTTTGCCTAAGATGATCAAGGATGAAGGTATTGGCGCTTTCTACAAGGGACTGGTGCCATTGTGGATGCGTCAAATCCCATACACCATGATGAAGTTCGCTTGCTTCGAGCGCACTGTTGAATTGTTGTACAAGTAAGTCAATTTCCACTTTACTGAATTAGCATTATGATAACTACCTACTTCTTACTAAATTATATTTAGGCACGTTGTACCAAAACCACGTGTCGAATGCACCAAGGGTGAACAGCTTATTGTGACATTCGCTGCTGGTTACATTGCTGGTGTCTTCTGTGCCATAGTCTCCCATCCAGCTGATGTGGTCGTTTCGAAACTGAACCAAGCCAAGGGCTCATCTGCAATCCAAGTGGCTAAATCGCTTGGCTTCATGGGTTTGTGGAACGGTCTCACGCCACGTATCATTATGATTGGTACACTCACTGCCCTGCAATGGTTCATCTACGATGGTGTCAAGGTTGCCTTGGCTCTGCCTCGTCCGCCACCAGCAGAGATGCCAGCTTCCCTCAAGGCAAAACTCGAGGGTCAACAGTAAAATAAAAAAATGTTAGATTTAATTCTACTCATCAGCAATTACTAATACGACTCTAAATTAAATAAGTTCAGCCAACGATATTAGAGCGTGCGACGTAGAGTCGTCACAACTAAAATAGTTAAGACGCAAAAAGTATAGAACAACAACCACAGCAGTACGATTGAAAGCAGAAAATATACACGTACATACATACATTGACTCGGGCCTAACGTATCGACGCATTTAAAGGGGACTATATCAGTACAACTAATGGTTTTTGCAAAAAGCTGAAAACTTTACTGTTAACTCCAATACTCAACGCATTTACAGCATTGTAATTCTATCATTCCGGTGGATACTGTAAATGTGCCACACTTTAAGCTTTGCATTTCTATTTATAAACCGTTTTAACTAACTAAAATTAAAATCTAATTTCAATGTACATTCTGTATTTCTACATTTCTTAACTTTTAACTTTTTAAACTTGTACAGCATTGTTTAACGTATTTAAGCTAAAATCCTATGTGTGTGCTGTGCGCTTAAGGCAATAAAATGAAATTGAATACATTTTTGTTTGAAAGTCATAATGGTGTTATTGCTTATTGTAAGATCAGTACGCAGCATTAACTATCTAAAGTGTATTGTTTTAAACACATATGTATGTTATGTACTGTATTTTGTTATCCCCTCTAACAGCGTTGTTAACATTGTCCGAAGAAAAACATAGTAAAATATACAAAACTAAAAATACTTTGGTGGTTTTTCTTTGAGCGAAAATGGTTGCTTAGCGTTTCGATTCTTAAAGGATTTATTTAGTGGACGCGCGGTAGCATTTCACGCACAAAATGCCTCAAGAAGCATTCAAGGTGCATTATGGCCCGTATGCATAAAAACTAAGACATCCTATCCCGGACCATTTTGTGAATCCCGGGATTTCGGGATCTTAAATTGGTAATCCCGGGATCCCGGGATATTTCGGGATATTACCATTAATTAAAATATGCTAACAAACTAGTTTTGTGGTCTTGCTTTAGTGCGAATACTATTTTTAAAAAAGTAAAAAATAGATCATTTTTACACTCACATACATATAGTATTTATACATATACACATATGTGTAATAATTTAGTATGCAACAACATATATATTACAAGTATGACAAATTTCGTAAGAAAAAATTATGTCATGTGTCCGATTCGCATAAAATTTTTATGGGTTCTATACATGAAATAAGACAACACGTATTCTACTCATCGTACATTCCTCATCTTAACGTCGATTTGAAGATAATGAAACGGGCTTAACATTTCTATATGATGGTTATGATTGTCCCAAAGTTTACTTAGCACAGTTGAACTTTTTTAAGTTGATTTGCATAGTGAACACCATCGTAGTCCTCGTTTAATTCTCAAAAAAAAAAACATGTTCCTAAAAAATGGGAGTTTTTCAAGAGCTATTTATTTTATGACGAGGTGGTTTATTTTGTGAGAGTCAACAATGAAGTCTCTACAATGAACAGAGCCCGCGATATAAAAATTGGAAGAAGTACATGACTATTTAGTCAGAATCACGAAAAAATCCAAAATTTGACAGATCATATATCCAAAGAAAAAAGGAAAAATGTGAAGCCAATCGAAATTGTGTTACCAAATTTGGTGTCCGATATGAAAACGAATGCCTCATATATGTTATATATATCATAACATAGCATAATAGTAGTGTTACAATTGTAATATATATATATATATGTATATATATATGCAAGAAACGCTATGGTTTACACTTTTTCATCCACTTTGACAAT